CACGAGTGTTACCCCAGCTGAAGTCGTCTTGTTTCCAGAAGGAATACATCGGCAAAATGAAACTATAGATCGGGTAGGCACAGATATAAATGATCATCCAACCAATATGCTGCCACTGCCGTTTCACAATGAAGATGATCGCCTGAAGGCCGTACACACCAGCCAAGATGGCGATAGATATGATTGGAATTGGTCCACCACTGGCGACACTGTAGATTAGGTAACCCAAGTAAACACAGGTGGCCGGGAGGATGATGGTTCCGAGAAGATCAACCAATACGACAAAGCGCATACTGAAGCAGCAGAAGCCGCACAGGTCTTTCAGGGCAGCGAGTTCCACCAGGTTGTGGACAGTCGAGTTGATCCAGCGACGTCGCTGAGACAGAAGGACAGAGAACGTCTCGGGGGCGGCAGTGCTAGCGTAGGCATCCGGGATGAATTTGTAAGACATAGTAGGGAAGTGCTTCGTCATCAGTGTAGTCAAATAACGATCCTCACCCAGAGAAAGCAGGTTTTTCTTGTGCAGCGTGTCAACGTCATTGTCTGCGTATTCTTTGATAACCTTGTCTGATATGATCAAAGGCCGGCCTTTGTCCGCCGTCCGCAAGCGATACATGCAGAAACTGTACGAGTCAGCATCTTCGTAGTATATATTGCACTGATAGGTGTTATACTTACCACCCAGGAAGACAGGTTACACTGCCAAAGAGGGACTCGAATGCTTTTGAGAGATGATGAGAAATGTAGTACTCATAAACCTGGATCATGGTCCACCAGCTTCGTTCCTCATTTTGCAAACTCGTCTCACCACAAATGCCAGCAATGCGGGCATCATTGGCACAGGCAGCGACAAGGCGATTAAGTGAATCTTCTCGGACACTTGTATCCGCATCCACCATCAGGCAGTATTCATAGAGCTCAGGGTCGACGCCAATCACATTATTAATCTGATGGAAAATCTCCAGCTCAAGAGGCGACATGGGGGCGCGATGGTGTACACGATTAAGGAAGTTCATAATCTGAATCTGAGAGTCGCGCTTACCCCTGTTTCCAGGCTTGGACTTGCTTTGCTCGGACTCTTTGCCAACCTTCACGACAACAATGTAGGGAACAACATTCCCTTCATACTCATAAAGTCCGGAGTAAACCTTTCCATAGTTGAGCTGATCACTGCCTTGTCCAACCGATTTGAACGGTAAGGCAGGAGGGTCGATCTTGGGATCTACTCCCAGAATGTCCAGAACGATCTTGGGCGTTGGGCGGTCGTTACCGCCACCGACAATCATACCGTCGCAGATGACATAAATCAGTTTCCTCTTGTTATCATACTGAAGAGCTGTCAATGAATCAAGGCCTTTTCGCAATGAGTCCTCGCCCTCAGTGTACGCTGGCACCAAGCAGATGACGAACTTGTCCTGAGGGGCAGGCCGACGTTTGGATCCTAGCTGGAGAGCAGCAAGGAACTTGACAAGAACGACAGCACAAATGAGACACGTGAATGCCAACAGGATGTAATTATTGACTTGGCATCTCGCAGTATCACGGAAATCAACCTTGCCTTTATTGAACACATAATCCAGACAAGTTTGCGCTTTGGTGGCATTTTCACTGTCTGGCCATTTGTCCGTTACGTCGGTGCCTGGATAATTTTTGAAAAGTTCTGTGATACTGCTTGGCAGGAAGTTGTAACTGTCGATGTTGTTCATCTGCTTGAGGGTATAGAAATAGTCCGTCAAATCATATATGTTTTGATCCTTGATGACCCAGGACCGTGAACTGCTGTCTGCTTGTTTTGCCACATCACTCCGCTTCCATACAACGGAGCCCTTGTAGTACTCGTCAATCTTTGGTAGAAAGACATCTTCGTACCAGGTGATTTTGTGCAGCTTCGTGTTCGGGTCCGTCTGCGCGAGAGGGCCACAACTATGCTTGGCATTTGAATACAACACCGCGTTTGTGTCGTTATTTCTCAGTGTGATAGACTCATCGGTCACAAAGTCACCACAGAGTCGAGTAAGCGGAGGAGGGAAGTAGGCGTCCATGTTTTTACCCATGAAAGGCTCCATGTTTGATGTTGTCGTCTCAATGTTTGTGTCACTGTGTTGGATTTTCCAGAACTTGCTGATGTCGTAGACTTTGCCGTGAATGCTGACGTAAAAGTCATTATTCCCTTGATGATAACTGACCTCTTTCTCGTTCCAGACTTTATCCTTGTTTGGACAAAGCAAGTTACCGAAGGCGATGATATAAAAGCAGACAATAGCGTTAAAGAGAAGAATGAGAAACACGAGGACGAGCTTTTCTCTCCATGCCATTCGCACATCCGGACGCTTCATTCGGCCCACGAAGCGAAGGACGAACGATGGAATCCAGAAAGTCAAGGCCCAGACAAAGCCAGTCCAGACACGTCGACCGAGTGTAATATCCTTTTTCTCGATATGTTTGGGGTCGGCATACTCAGGATCAAGCTCGCCCAAGTAGCGGCCATCTTCGTCATAGAAGGGGTTGTCATACTTCTTATCATCTCCCTTAGGGCCTAAGCCATAGTCACCGCCCGCTTGCAAGGTATGCGGAGCGCTGGGCGCAATTGACTTCGCACCACCAACAACACTGGGAACGACTGTACTTTGTCTGTTGAGCAAATTATCCCGGCTCCCTAGAAGGCTTGTCGATTCTGCGACGGGGGGCACTGCGTAATGTGGAACGCCAGGATCAAGCATGCCACTTCCATACATGAAAGGGCTTGCTGCTGGTGGTTCTTCAGGCTTGAGATCGAGCATTGTCTCTGCTTCCCACCACGCATTTTCTCTCACCCAGATTCGCTGATGGCCAACCACGCATCGCCGTTGGTCCACCCCCTTTCAACCAACCAGTTCTCAACACCATCCTTTCCTTCTCCGCACCCTAGTCGGAAGTATCTACCGATAAATTCCTCCACGTCAAAGTCGGCTGTGAAATCGATCTCTCTGAGGCGACGGTTTGCCCACTCAGCAAGTCGCCATTCCCGTAGTTGACGGGAAACGGCGCTCGCGGACCAAGTCGCAGTCGGCATACTAGGGTTCAGATTTTCAGGTAAGTCATCAGTGGGATGAATAGAGATATGATGCCAAACACGGCTGCTGCCTAGTGTAGTGGCCAAATCAAATCGGCCTTTCTTGCCCAATGTGATTCCTTCGGATTCAGCGGTAAACAAAATCTGTCGAAGAAACGAGTCCATTTCAACTTCAAGCCCAACTTTCTCCAAGACTTCATGTCTCTTGTCCAGCTCATACTCACGTTCGCGCCACGTGGGGCCAGTGGATATTCCCAGATCGACTTCAACCTGGGCAATCGCTGCAGTCATATCATTAAGAACGGCCGGGCCAGCTGGAGGAACGACGACTCCATCCTCCTTCATTTCAGCGTTGATTCCCAGGGTATCGTCAAATACCCCTCTCATCGCCACAGCTCTTCCCAGCGCAGGCCTGGGCAGGTCAACCACGGTGATACTTACCGTATCGTCGTCGGACCACTGAGCTGGCTGTCCAGAGCCACGACTGCTATCATCCAAGCTTGCCTGCAGCTGGCTCGCAATAGCTTCATTGGCTTTTCCGATCACCCAATCAACCAAAGCCTCGTATATTCCAGAAATTAGGACCTCTCTTTCGTCGGTGGAGCATTTGTGTAGAAGAACTTCAGGATCTATGCCCAGTAAACCACCAACATCTTCACACGCCTCCTCTAGGTCTTCCTGGTCAACTAGGAAGCCGGCCGCATTACCAAGCTTGAGCAACCCTGCAAGTACTGACAAAAGACCTCGTTGGGCTGCACCTTTGATGCCGATGGCCTTAAGAGCAGATCTAAAGTCTTCGGCAGCGGCAGCGTCGTCGGCAGTAGGAAGATACGATGGGGGTGCATAAGTACCCGACTTACGGAGCAGAGCGTAGGACGAGGCGTCTTTCAGGTCCAGGAATTCCCGCTCGGCTGGTGTCGATGCAGACGTTAAGAGATAGTAGAACACGTCGAAGGCACGATATCCCGGCTCAGAAGCAATATCGAGGAATCCTTTGCGTACATTGATCCCTGAAGTCGAAAGTGCTAGAGATAGCCCGGTGATGTCGCCCTTGAGGGTCAAGGTGTAGCAAGCCGAAAGCGCGGAATAGAGTGAGTATGAAGGGTTGAAGCTAGTTACAGCCGTCAAAAAGGGGCGGAGAGCGGCCAACGCTGTGAAGGCGATACTGGGAGTGGACAAAGGTAGTGTTGCTAAGAATGGCTCTAAAACGGATGGTGTTGAGTGGTGAGTAGAACTGGTTACGATTGAGTGTCAGTTGGCCATCCAATACTGCTGGATCTCAGGATGAGCGCTAACCATAAAACGATACAGCCGTCCTCTGCTCTTCTCCTTGCATGCTCCCAAGCTCTGGCCGCTAGTTCGCGATCTATTGTAGGCCCGATATGGCCTTCCGGGGTTGCTTGCGTTGCGGTAAGCAATGTATTCACGACTAGGCTGGTTCCCGCGTCGAGTTGGTAGGGCTGTCCGGTCGTATAATGCGCATGCAACGCATTTAGCAACGTCGTTGTCGAGACCTGCCCACCTGACTGGGGCGCTCGGCCGCCGGTGGAGAAAGCAGCCGAATGGCTGGAGTAAACTGAATAGCGATTTGACATGGTTGTGCAACTCTGAGGTTAATCGGCGGTCTGTCCCCGATATGTTCTCGTAATGAACGCCAACCAAACGATGGCACGAACGACGAACCCAATCCTGTACGTTCAGAACATGAAACTGCAACCTTCCCGTCTTCAGTTCTCACTTCACCTCTAAGCGAAGGGTACAGGCATGCGTACACGGTCCTAGTGTCGCTGCGGTCGTGAGCCCGAATGGAGGATATGCGAGCACAGTCTGAGCGGGAAGCTTTGAATAGTGAACTCAGAAGCTGTGATTATTAGGAATGATGTTATTGTATTCTTCAGGTGCTGAAGCGAGTGACGGGGGTGTGGATGAGTAGCGAGTGTTGGGCAAAGCGACGTTTGTAAAGCCCGGAGATTATAATTACAACCGATGATGCGAAGCGAAGGGCTAAACGATTCGGTTATCAAAAGAAAAGAAAAAGAAATAAGATAGGAAGATCAAACACACTCGAAAGCACTACTCCCGTAACGAAGGAAAAAGCAAGCAAGAGGAATCCAAACAACAACAACAACAGAGGCGGACAATTGGGAGGTGGATAGAATAGGAAGAAGCAGACAGAAAGAAGAGAACGAGACGATCACCTGTGATGCGAGTTTGTTGCCAGCCAGCCTAAGGTAAGTTGTCGTCCCAGAAGCTTAACTGGATATGGGTTGGTACTGTTGGTACGCGCATACGAAAATTACTTCAGTTTTCATTTGCTCGGTGCTTTGTTGTTTCAGGGCACCCCCCTTCGCTTGTTTTCAATTGGTAATTCTGATTGACGGCCATGAAACTGCAGAGTGCAAAAACAGAGGTGTGCGTTGTCCCCACTACTGATAGTACGTAGCTAACATTTAGCCCGTAAATCATATCTGGTATTTGGGTCATAACAATGGGCAACTCTTCCCCCTTTCCTCGGTGCATTCTGTTCGGAATCGGGCCTGGGATCGGTTGAGAAAGGAAATTTTCAATTCATATGATACAATGAGGTCGTCGTGTAATCTTCATTTTACATATGATTTTCTTCTTTTTTAGTGTATCTGATTGCTTGGGTGGGTTTGTTTACTTTCTTTTCTTTTCTTCCTTTTTCCCTTTCGGTTTCCCCCTCAAACCTGTCAGGTGGCGTGCATCAAAACTTTTTGTCTTGGCCAATGGCGGTAGCGAGGAGAGCCAGATCCATGGCCCTAGACCCTTGGAGACTCCCATAGCTAAAAATGGCACACCCTGTCTCACCCGCACTCCATGGCCACCAGATTTCCGTATCAAATACCGGAAAGATTGGGTCAACCGACCTTGCTGAAGACACCCGTGTCTCAGTCAAAGCCAATCAAGGTTATCTTGCCGATACATTTTTTCTATTCCAGGTGTGTCCGAGTTGTCATATGTTTAGTTCCTAATGGTTTGTGCTAGTAAGTCCAGTAGTAGTATCCAGAATCATGCAGCATGCATCTGGCACTGGCCGCCTTAACGGTGTTGTTATTTTTATACCAAGTCAGATCATTGCGCCTCTTTCAAGGCAATTGTGGCGGCTCTAGTCATTGTTTTCTGCAAAACATCCACTGTACAGACTACATACGGCCTATGTATCTCGGTGGTATTAGTTGGTCACTAGTGAGTTTGCAAAGCCTATAGAGGTTAGTATTAGAAGTGTAGGAGGTAATGTGCTGGTGCTTCGGACAATCCGACCATGTCCACTGATCAATATGAGCTGCCCCTCTACAAGAAACGTAATCTACTCTGAAGTACGCAATATACGTATTAGGGATCATATTGAAGGGCCATGGTGATGAGAACCATTTTCACAAAAACTGGAAAGTGAAAATTTTCAGGACACATTCCATTGTCTTCCACTGTGAATTTCAAAACATGAGAATGGAACCAGAATCACCCAAAGGACGAATGGGGGCCCTAGTTTCGGACCTTTCCCCATCAGGACAAGTCAATCGAATGATCCGACCCACCCGGACCTAGATTGATTTTCTTTCTTTTCCTTTTCGCGTTCATTCCCCTAAACCCCTCAGGGTCTGGTCCCTTTTCTCGATTGTAACCTATAAAGGAGACGACTTACTAACTATAGAAGGAAAACCTCCTATATTGCAGGTGACCGATGCATTTATTGATTAAAATATATTTATAGTGCCTCCTATACGGAATGGATGAACTTTAAAAAAAAGAAGAAAAATTTTTGCATACCGTAGAAATGCTCTCAAGGGATATCTAGTACGCGCCCCCTGAAGTCGTTCGGTAACCTGTCAAGAGCATGTGGCGTTAACCATGGGAAGAACTGATGTAAACTGCGGTGGTCCCGTACGGCTGGTATCTTGAATCAACCAAGGTATGAAATCGGGGAGCCGAAACTGTAATTGGCGCTGGGTGTAATCATTTTGTTCCTACCTTCCCAAGGTTCAGGGCACACCGTGCCGTGTAGTACCAGGATATTGCCCATCAGGACCTACCTGCTTCGGTATGATGTTCATATACACGTACTCTGAATAATTGGGAGGAGGGGAACGGGTAAAGTTCAAGGTTCGGCCGACTGGGTTCACCAAACTCCACTGCAGTCTGAGTGGTCGGATCAAAGACGCTGCGTCCACTTGGCCTCGGTTGTTGGGGGGAACCTTTGCAAATAATAACAATCTGATCCGCTCACTCAATCTACGTCGAACAGGATACAGATTAATGCTGATGGATTCCTGACCCGACATGGCCAATCCGAGTATTTATATCGTCGGGTGCTGATCCGACTAGTAAATTTGATTTTTTTTTTCCCCCAATTGTTTGATACAGGCATACCTAAGGTATCGAACCAAGTACAAACGAGTAATTTGAAAAACCACAATTCAAGACGAGTGTGGCCCACCGAGTAACCTACCCAAGCAAGCATCTGATGGTAACAGATCCATTCAATACCACACTTACCCAGTTCAAGTAACTGCCACTAGTACCTTGTAGTTTTGGTTCACTCTTTCTTTTCCCCAGAAGCTGTTCATATCGTTTGTTTCTTTTCTCCCGAAAAGCTCACCTCTGTTGAATTGCTCATTCTGTTTTGCTTTTGTGCTTTTTGTATCTTTCTTCAATTATTTCTGTTTCCCTTCCTCTGTTCCGGCGGATCCTTTCTTTTCCTGCTTGGATTTGAATATCCTCCCAGAGTAATAATCATAATCACAGCGTGTTCAACCATCGTTCCATCCGCCTACAAGTCAGTCTCCAGATACAATCGCTACACTTCTCTTCACGCCACTCTCGCTTCACAACTCGCCAGCTGTTCATCTCGTATTTATTGCGCCAAAGTTCCGCAGAAGACCAACGAGCCGCGTGCCGTTTGAGGATTCGTTTGCCATCTTGACAAGCAATGTGCCTATCGTTTCTCTATTGATAAGACATATTCTCCATTCCAGGGCGTTGCCACATTCCAAGCCATCCAACATCTAAATCTGCATAACTGAACGGCCCTATCCAGTTCGAGACCACGCCGGGCAAGATCGCTTTCTGGAATTTTTCTTTTTCCCTCCGTTTCTCCTTCACCGGGATCCTTACCGATCTTTCGTAAGACGCCCATACCGATTGCTACGATCGTGACCAGTGCTTAGAAACCCCCAGCTTCAAGGCTTCGAGCCATTGATAATATGGTTGGGCCTTCGCCAGCTGGGACAGCTCCGTCCCATGCGCAGTCGTCGTTACCCTCATTACCGGCTCATCTGCAATCAGACACACATTTGACTGCTCATTTAGCCAGCCGGTATGATATCGCGATCCACCGTTTCTCCATGTTTGACTGACATAGTGGCTTTTCTTCTAGGTTCCATGTCGGCTTACCTACAGCTCGTCTGTCTTCTCAGGCTTTGATCAGTCTCAACACATACACTTCATCTTCAAAGGGGCCTGATGGAGGCAAGGAGGGCAGTGCTATGGGCGAGGCGGAAGACCTCGCCCGCCGTGCCTTTACTCGCCTGGGTGCCCGTGGAGAGAATCAGGCCATTGTTTTTCTGTAAGCGCATTCTGAAAATACACATCTATACGGTTTGTTTTCTAATTGCCGATTTGTAGCGGAGAGAGCGGGGCTGGAAAAACTACCATTCGAGCGCATGTGTTGTCGTCGTTTCTCTCGTTCTCATCCACACCCTTGTCGTCCAAACTGTCGTACGCCTCCTTTATCTTTGATACATTGACAACGACCAAGTCTTTGACTACGCCCACGGCATCGAAGGCGGGACTTTTCTTGGAACTACAATATGACGGCTCGTCGTCGGTCAACCCAACGCTGATCGGTGGTAAAATCATCGACCACAGACTCGAACGCAGTCGTATTGCGTCAGTCCCCACAGGTGAAAGAAGCTTCCATGTCCTTTACTATCTCTTAGCTGGGACAAGTGCGGCAGAAAAGAGTCACTTGGGTTTTGATAACTCTATCCATGTTTCGACGAGTGCTGGCAAGCTTTCGTCCGCATCGATAGGTCACAAGAGGTGGAGATATCTGGGCCATCCAACTCAGCTCAAGGTAGGCATCAACGATGCGGAGGGCTTTCAACACTTCAAGACAGCACTCAGGAAGCTCGAGTTCCCCCGCAGTGAGATAGCCGAGATTTGCCAAATTCTTGCTGCTATCCTTCATATCGGCCAACTAGACTTTTCCAGCGGACAAGCTACTTTGACATCAGCAGAGGAGTCTGGCGGCTATTCACATGAGGGTGGGGAGACTGTCACGGTAGTGAAGAATAAGGATGTCCTGTCAAGCGTCGCCGCGTTCTTGGGACTTGGGGTTGATGAGCTTGAGAATAGTTTTAGTTACCGGACTAAGACCATCCACCGGGAGCGCGTCACGGTGATGCTGGACCCAAAGGGTGCCCGACAAAACGCTGATGAACTTGCGCGCACTATTTACTCCTTACTAGTGGCTTATATTCTCGAGACTGTCAATCAGAGAATATGCGCTGCGGAGGATAGTGTTGCCAACACCGTGTCTATTGTTGATTTCCCTGGTTTCTCCCAGGCATGCTCAACTGGATCCACACTGGATCAACTTCTTAGCAATGCAGCCACCGAATCGTTGTACAATTTCTGCCTGCAGTCCTTCTTCGACCGCAAGGCTGATATGTTAGAGCGCGAAGAAGTTGTAGTTCCCGCGACGAGCTACTTTGACAACACCGATGCTGTCCGTGGGCTGTTGAAACATGGCAACGGGCTTCTCAGTATCCTCGATGATCAAACTAGGCGCGGTAGAACGGAAGCTCAATTTGCCGAATCGTTGAAGAAACGGTTCGAAAACAAAAACCCGGCTATTGCTGTCGGAACCTCAGGGACTACCCACGGAACTGGATATGTCTCGCAGCAAGCCCGCTCGGCATTTACTGTGAAGCATTTCGCTGGCGAAGTTGATTACTCCATCTCCGGCCTACTTGAGGAAAATGGGGAAGTTATCTCCGGTGATCTGATGAACTTGATGAAGTCCACCAGAAGCGACTTCGTGAGAGAGCTCTTCGGACAAGAAGCACTACAGACAGTGACACACCCAAAGGAGAAGACCGCTATTATGCAAGCTCAGGTAAGCTCAAAGCCCTTGAGAATGCCTAGCATGGCAAGGCGGAAGACCAGCCCAGCATCTCGCCTTACTTTCGATGCACCCACGGCGGACGAACCCGAAGACTATGAGAGCTATGGGGGCAGTACAGCCAAGAGCTCTGGAAGGCGAAAGAGTGCGATGTCCATGACTGGCATTCAGGGTGCTGCCGGGCAATTCCTTTCCTCGCTGGAAATCGTCAATAAATGCCTCAGCTCCCCTACTTTGAATCCCTACTTCGTCTTTTGTTTGAAGCCAAACGACCGGCGAATTGCGAATCAATTTGACAGCAAGTGTGTGCGAGCTCAGGTGCAAACATTTGGCATCGCCGAGATCAGCCAACGTCTAAGGAACGCGGACTTCAGCGTTTTCCTTCCATTTGAGGAATTCCTTGGTTTAGCTGAGATAGGCAACGTCGTGGTGGGGAGCGATAAAGAAAAGTCAGAGGTTGTGCTAGATGAGAAGCGATGGCCGGGTAATGAAGCCCGTGTTGGCAGCACAGGTGTTTTCCTGAGTGAACGCTGCTGGGCAGACCTCGCAAAGGTAGGCGAGCGTGTCATTCCTGTCTACCACGCCGACGGCTCGGAAGATAGTGATGGCCTCCTTCACCCACGTGCCGCTGCGTATGGGGATTCCAAAGTTCGCCTTCTCAACCCGACAGATCAGTCTCCCGGCAACTTCATATACGGCGATGAAAACAAGCAAGGGTACTTCGGAAGTCGTGATCTTGATGGGCGATCTGATACCGGTGGCTCTGGTCTGAACTCGGGCGATATGTTCCACAACCTCGAGACAAGAGAGCAGATGTTGGAGAAAGGCAATGAGAAAAAATGGAAGAGGTGGACGAAGTACCTGTTTCGAGTAGTCGCAAACGCTGGATGGCAATCGTCTGGTTGCTCACATTCTACATTCCAGACTTCGCCATCAGGCTAGTTGGTCGGATGAAACGAAAGGACGTACGAACTGCTTGGCGTGAGAAATTCGCGATCAACTTGATTATTTGGTTCAGTTGTGCCGTCGCCATTTTCATGATCGTCGCCTTCCCCGGTTTGGTATGTCCGACACAGCATGTGTATTCAGCCGCGGAATTGTCTTCTCATAACGGCAAAGACGGCCATAACTCTTACATTGCCGTTCGCGGTGTGGTTTTTGACCTTGATAAATTCATGCCCCGACATTATCCCGATATTGTGCCGCAATCATCTTTGAAGAGATATGCCGGCATTGATGCTACCGGTCTCTTCCCCGTACAGGTGTCAGCATTATGCCAAGGTAAGGATGGGTCGATCGATCCCACTGTTCTTCTGGATTACACTCCTACGAACATCTCCGGATCGGCGACGACCATAAGCTCAGGAGACATCAACGCAAAATACCATGATTTCCGATACTACACCAACGACTCCCGTCCAGACTGGTTTGCAGAGCAGATGAAACAACTGAGGGCAACCTATCTGAAAGGATACATGGGTTATACTCCACAATACATCTCCACGTTGGGCAAAAAATCCCAGAACATTGGAAGCATAGACGGAAAGGTCTACGATTTGACAACTTATATAAGTGGAGGTCGACGGGTCGCAGCTCCTCCTGGAAAAGAGGTCCCGGCTAATGTCGACCGGGAGTTTATGGATCCTTTGGTGGTGTCGCTCTTCCAAGATCTTCCCGGGCAGGACCTGAGTAAACACTGGGAACAGCTGCAGATAGATGCAAGCATGCGTGATCGGATGCAGATGTGTCTCGATAACCTTTTCTTCGTCGGCAAGGTCGATACGCGGAATTCAGCCCAATGCCAATTTGCGCGTTACTTCATCCTTGCAATCTCAATCTTGATTTGCTCGGTTGTCATCTTCAAGTTTGCTGCCGCTTTACAATTCGGCAAGAAAAACGTCCCTGAAAATCTTGATAAATTCATTATTTGTCAAGTACCGGCTTACACTGAAGATGAGGAGTCCCTTCGTCGTGCAATGGATTCTATGGCCCGCATGCAGTATGACGACAAGCGTAAACTCCTTGTTGTCATCTGTGATGGCATGATTATTGGACAAGGAAACGATCGACCTACTCCACGGATAGTATTGGATATTCTGGGCGTTCCAGAATCAGTGGATCCAGAGCCCCTCAGCTTTGAGAGTTTGGGCGAAGGCATGAAGCAGCACAACATGGGTAAAATCTATTCTGGTCTATATGAGGTGCAGGGACATATCGTTCCTTTCCTTGTTGTCGTTAAAGTCGGAAAACCTTCTGAAGTCTCACGACCTGGTAACCGTGGAAAACGTGACTCTCAGATGGTACTCATGCGCTTCTTGAACCGCGTCCATTACAATCTTCCCATGAGTCCTATGGAACTGGAAATGTACCACCAAATTCGCAACATTATTGGCGTCAATCCCACGTTCTATGAGTTCATTCTGCAAGTCGACGCTGATACGGTGGTTGCGCCCGATTCGGGAACTCGATTCGTTGCTTCTTGCTTAGCCGACACGCGCATTATAGGTATCTGTGGCGAAACAGGCTTAACAAATGCTAAGCATTCAGCGGTGACAATGATCCAAGTTTACGAGTACTTCATCTCCCACAATCTGATCAAGGCTTTCGAAAGTCTTTTCGGGTCAGTCACATGCTTGCCGGGCTGCTTCACCATGTACCGTATTCGCTCTGCAGAAACCGCAAAACCGCTTTTCGTTAGCAAGGAGGTCGTGGAAGCCTACTCGGAAATTCGTGTTGACACACTCCATATGAAGAACCTGCTACACCTGGGTGAGGATCGGTATTTGACAACCCTTCTCCTCAAGCATCATCCTACTTTCAAGACGAAATTCCTTTTTGCAGCTAAGGCCTGGACAATCGCACCTGAAAGCTTCGCAGTCTTCTTGTCGCAACGTCGTAGATGGATCAACTCAACCGTCCACAATTTGATTGAACTGATCCCTCTTCAGCAACTCTGTGGTTTCTGTTGCTTTAGTATGAGATTCATTGTCTTCGTTGACCTTCTCAGTACCTGCATCCAACCTGTCTCGCTCGCCTATATCATCTACCTGATTGTCTGGCTTGCCAGAGATTCATCCACCATTCCATGGACGTCTTTTGTTCTCATCGCAGCGATCTATGGTCTTCAGGCCCTCATCTTCATCTTCCGTCGCAAGTGGGAAATGATTGGCTGGATGATTGTGTACCTCCTGGCCATGCCTATTTTCTCCGTGGCCCTGCCCCTCTACTCGTTCTGGCATATGGATGACTTTTCTTGGGGAAACACTCGTGTTATCACTGGAGAACAGGGCCGCAAAGTCGTCATTTCAGATGAAGGAAAATTTGACCCGGCGTCTATACCGAAGAAGAGATGGGAGGAGTATCAAGCGGAGCTCTGGGAGGCCCAGACGTCACGAGACGATCGTTCAGAAGTTTCTGGCTTCTCCTATGGTACTAAGTCGTATCACCCTGCGCAGTCCGAATACGGGTTCCCTGGAGCTAGACCAGTGTCTCAGTTCGATCTCCCTCGCTATGGGTCCAGGATGTCTCTGGCTCCTTCCGAGATGATGAGTCGCCATATGGATATGGAGATGGAGGATCTATCACATCTACCTAGCGACGATGCCATTCTCGCGGAAATCCGTGAGATCCTGCGGTCAGCCGATCTAATGACCGTGACGAAGAAGAGTATCAAACAAGAGCTGGAGAGACGTTTTGGTGTGAATCTCGATGCCAAGCGTCCATATATCAACTCAGGTAAGAACTATTTCCCCACTAAGATATTACAACAGAATCATACTAACTGTTTGTGATCCTTGTAGCCACGGAGGCTATTCTGTCGGGTGCGCTCTAATCTGAGAGTCAAGCTCGATGTGTGTATCGCATGGAAGACCGTTACCTTTTTCGCGGTGTAAAAAAAACCTTTACCTGATTTAATATTCGCATATCTAGTGTCCCAACTTATAAATTCGCAGCTGTCGTTGTTTGTCTACAGCTTCGTATTTTTGGCCTTCTCGCCGATCTATGATGTCCATGACTATCTCATCATTACTGCACCAGCTTTTGTTTGATGTCTTTCTTTCATGACAATCACTCGACGCCTTTCGGGATGCATTGCCAGCGCTTTGTTTAGACTTGGTGGAATCAGTCTGGAGTTGTACAGTACTTGCTTTGTTCCTAGTTTTCATTTTGTCGTATTTGTTGAGTGATTGGAATGTATCGTTGAGCGTTGAGACTGCACATCTTGAATGTTCATTTACAATAGATAATTATTTACAGCGAGTCACAATCGAGGCAAAATCAATGTATAATGCAATTAAGATATGAAACAAATGGGTATAGTGTTCCAATTCCCATCCAACGTGCTGTTCAGAACGAAGGTGTTATGGAGGGTTCTACCGGTCTATCAGCCAGTTTGCGATGATCTTGCTGCATGCCCAGGATCTCCCAAGCGCGCCCCATCATTCCATGTCCTAGCCCCTGTGGAAAGCCACCGAACACCGAATTCTTGGGTGCGTGTCTCCGGGCTCGATCACGAGCAAGGCGCTCTTTCTTCGTATTAACCAGTCTGTCCTGCTCTCTTTCCTGATTGACGATATCATCGCGCCATTCGGTCCAGTGCTCGAAGTTCTCCCGCTGTTGAAGAACCTGGTAGCGCAGCTTAGTCTTCGATGGACGCCAACTGGCACGGCTGCCGTTCTCTTGGGACATGGTGGACTTCAAATCGCAGATATTTGACTCCTTGGTTAGCTTGAGAAGATGAGTAAAGACATCCCTGCTCTCCGAGGCGGTCTGCTGGATCTTGTCACGCTGGACATTGCCGTTGGCTTGTGTAAGGGGCACGTCAAGCCAAGAGTACATGTCCGCTGAGCGCTGCACAGAGTACGGGTCGAGCATGTTGGCGCGGCGGTTCTCTTCGCGCAGAAAGCGGACGGCCGCTTGCAGACTTTCCACCTCGGCGCGGAGAGTCTCGTTCTCGCGCATCGTAGCCAGGGAAAGGGCGTTGTCAACCACAACGCCCTCTGTTGTGGTGATTCCGGTTGTGCCGGACGCGCGTTTGACCCTGTCCAGTCGGGCTTTGATCTCCTCGCGCTCTGTCTCCATGGCTTGGAGGTCTTTGCGTTGTTTTTCGACAACGTGCTCCAGCTCTGTTTCTTTTGTTCGCATGGCTTCGATCTTGGTCTCGAGCTCTTTGACCATGGAGGCCTTTTTGCTGGCTTCTTGCATCCTGGACTCGACTAGTTCGACCTTCAGCGCTTGCTCTTCGATCGTCTTGTCCTTGACGCCTAGGGCTGTTGAGGCTTCGTGGATCTCGTTCTTGAGACGTCGGATTTCTTCATCCGCGTCTGGGGACACTGCTTTGTTGGATTTTAGTTCTGAGGCTCGCGCGATCCAGGGTGAGGGGAGTTTTTCAAATTCCGATGTGATTGACAAGTCGGTTGAGATTGAGTCGAGCTCCTCGAGGTTTCCGCCTAGGCTGCGCAGTCTGTTGGCGATGAAGGACATTGTGTCGCTGCATTCGCTTCCCGATTCCGATGGCTGCGCATAAAGGGTCGAGACCTGGGACATGCTCTTCATTGCCTCTTCTAGCGTCAGTGGCTCCGTTCGGCTTTCATCACTTACGATAAGCGCGATGTTCTCTCCTAGGTGCCGGGCAAGCTCGGAAAGATCTTTGGCAGCTTCCTCGGTTTTCTTAAAGGGGCCTGCAATGTCTTGGGACAGGGCAAGGGACCTTGATCGGAGATCTTCGAGGGCCTTGTGGATCTTGCCCATGGCTACTTTTAGCCCCCGGGCTTGGGTTACTAGGGTTTCCATCTTGCTGATGAGGAAATTGATCTCTTGTTCTTCACCTTCTGGGGCTGAGAGTTTAGACTGCAGCAGAGTTCTGAGGCGTGATATTAATGATGCGGCGTGGTCAATGTATGACTGTGTTAAGGATGAGCGCATGCAGAGCTCGTCTGCGAATGTCTCTAATGAAGTTGGTAGGTGGACTTCTGCCAGATGGGATAGTAGTGCGATGGACCTTTGTAGCTCAATGCCACATTTCTTCGTGTTCAGCTCGTTCTTCCTTACGGATTCTATCCAGAAGTTCATGGTGCGCTCTACAGGCTCCATCTCGAACAATGTGGCCTTGATCCGGTCGAAGCTCTCTGCGGAGCAGTTGGTGATGTAGTTGATGAATCGGTCGCAGATGGAACCAATCCACATGAGTTTCTCGAGGACATCATGCGCTGCGAAGCCATCTTCCACAACGGCTATATCGGATGCCTGCTCGGGGAATCTCTCTCGGACAGTGCTACTCATCAGTGTGGCCTTGAAACTAACACGCTTGAAGCGTAGAAGTGCAAGAACGGCGTTCTTCTCTCCCTCAAAGTATTCGGGAAGGTATAGTTTCAAAATGGACAGGTGCTGAGCAGCCTCTTGTGCGTCCATGCGTTCCAGCTCAATGTCGATAGTCTTCGTCTGCGCTTTTGAAACTGATGCCTGCAGCTTCAAGTTCAGGTCCATCATGGCACGAGAGCGTGTTGTTAGATCCGTGGCTTCGGCCTCTGTAATCTGCTGCGAGGCTCGCATATCCTCCAAGTCCCCTTGGAGAGTAGAGACTAGCTCCCTGAACCGCGCCAAAGTGTACTCCAAGTCCTCGATGACCTCGTCTTGCTGAGCAACCCTGCGACATTGCTCGTTGAATAGGGATTCCTTGTAGTCGATTTCCTCTTGCATTTGCTTTTCTGTCTCGATGTGGTTGTACTCGAGCTCGTCGTTGATTTCCTTCAGCGCCTCGAGGTCCTCGATGGCAGCGTGGAGTTCGTTGATCTCCTCTTGGTAGTGCATGTTCTTATCTGCGAGCTCCTCGATCATCTCCTCCGCACCAAGAGCAGTCTCCAGCTGCTGCTTAAGATCTTCGACATTGTTTTCCGCTACAAGCAGCTTTTCCTTGGTGGATTCATACTGGGACTTGATACTTTCGTACTCCTCCAGATCTTCTTGTAGTTCCTTGATTTGGTCCTTCAATTCCGATTCCTGCTGCTGCGTCATATCGCGAAGCCGTATGAGGGCCTCGCGGAGCCGTTCATTTGTTCTCTCCATTTGCAGCCATCCATGGCTGGACTTCTCCTCCGGACTCATAGTCTGACCGAGCTCCTCGTTCTCCTCACGTAGGACTTCCGCTTCCAATTGAAGTTCCTCCACCCTCAACTTCAATGTTTCAACTTCATTTCTGAAGGCATCGGCCGTTTCTTCCGCCATCTCGCGGTCGAGAGTTGCCATTTCCAAAATCGAGTCATGCTCCGCTTGGATGCGCTCGATCTCTTCGAGTTGGGCCTCCGATTCTCTCAGCTTCTTTCGCAAGTCGCTAATCTCAAGCTGCTGTGGCTGGTATTTAGCCTGCAGTTTCTGGATAATGCCTTCGAATTTATCCCGCTCCTGTTGAAGTGTCTCCAAAGCCTTGAGCTTCTCTCGATCCTCAGTCCGCTTTTTCTCCATCACCCTAAGCTTTGTTTTCAACTCTTCCAGCTCCCTTGACAGCGCGGTACTCTGAGCTTGTCGCGGCGACGAGGTTTGGGAGAGTCCCGGGCGAGCAGCACCTGTCCGTGATGAACCAGAGGCAAGTCTGGACGGCTTAGCAGTTGGCTCCTCGCTGTCTATCTCATCGACCTCGGCATAGTTATCGGTGGTCTCAATATCCTCCGATTGTGGGCTCTCTCTTTCTTGTTCATCTGAGGTCTTGGGAGCGGTTTGTCGCAAAGCAGGGCGCTTGGCTACCCCAGTGGGTGCTGTCGTTGTTCCTTGTAGGCCTGGTCTAACGGTTCTGTTCGAAGCTCCAGATATCGATGGCCGGGAGGGCCGCGACGCAGATGGGGGAGGCGGGGGGCCCATGGATGTCGACTTAGCTCCGATAGACGGCCGGCCTTTAGATGTCGCAGCGGACGGCCTCGAGGGCCCGCTAATGGAGGAGCGTGGCGTGGATGCACCCGATAGCTGCTTCGTCGGCGATTGCGATTTTGTAGGCGACTGCGGTTGCTAGGTCAATGAGCAAGCAGTTCCATCAGCTCCGTAGCTCACGATGCACGTACCTTCAAGCCCAACCGCTGGGACGCAGTCTTCGCCGCAGGGCTCGGGCTGGCCGAGCTGCCACTATGTCTTTTCGTATTCGTAGCCTGTATAGCGCTCGGTTTCTTGATCCCCAGTCCGCTCGCAGAAGCTCCAGTCTGGGCCCGCCCTCTGGTCTGCGGAGCATTCGCGGTCCCCTTCGCAGCCGGTTTGGCTTCTTTTGCGGGAGGGCCAATAATGGCCGCGATGGCAGTTGGTCGGACGAACATGCCATATCCGAATTCGCAGTCAAAGTAGCGTTCTCCCTGGACGGCTCCGTCGTTCTTTCCTGTGGGTTCGTCCAATTCAATGCCGACCCAGTCTCCGGCAGCGAAGTGAGTGGTTCCAGCAAACCGTACGGTGGCCTGCCGACCGTCGGTTAATGTGACCACATGGCCGGGTGTTAAATCAGCCATGATCAATCATTCAGAGATGAAGCCCCTGCGCGAACAATGGCCCTGGATGTCGAGTATGGCGGTCAGATAGGGGCCGTTGTTGATGTGTTTGTGTTACTAGTCGGCGGACCTCCGTTCGGAGCCTCAGGACGCGATCCACGCGGAAGGATTCTTGGCAGCCTGAGGCATCAGATAATCTTATCAGGATATCTTATGTAGTGCTTTGGTTCTAGGCTTATTTCGGTTGGCAATGATAATAGACTGTTTATGATTATGTTCGTCCCAACACATATATACGTCTAAATCTATGTATAAAGGAAGAAACCCTATGTATAGCCATCGCTCGTAGCCTTCATAACGTGCGTAACACAATACAATGTACAAAAACTCTATGCAGATCATCTATTCCCACCCGATTCAGTTCGAACTCTTGAATAAGTGTGGGAAGCATGTCCTCAGTTCTTCCAGGCTCCGGATCATATATTGCGACACCGGGGCATCGGGCACAGGAAGCTCTGGCTCGACGAGGTGAACTGTCTGCCAGCCGCGAGCCGCGGCGTGCTTGCAGTTCAGACCGGAGTCATCTACAAGAGCGAGTTAGTACTGTATACAAGCCTTACACCCAAACCATGGAATACATACCGACAAAATAGCGTTCTGCCGTACTCGGGGCATTTGCTTCCCTCTCCGCCTTAGCGTACATCTCCTGTGTTGGCTTGCAGACGAGAGGGAGCTTCCCGTAGTCGCAGAAGGTGATGCCCTCGAACTGGTCATCCACCCCCAACAGTTTCACGACCCGTTTTCCATGATTGACGTATGCGTTGGTCAAAAGC